ATGTCCCAATTTTTATTCTGGTCAACAAATTGTACTATTTTACAATATTCCAATTAATTGATGATACAAATTTCATCTTAACACACCTAATCTAAAAAATTGGAAAAATTCAACTAAATGAACCCTCTGGACAAGTAAAAAAGGATTTAAAGGATAATTTACACAACAGGTAGGACACTTGAACATCTAATACTTAGAATAAGGCTATTATTTATTTTCTGGAGCTGTCAAGCCAGCAAGAGTGTTATTGTCCCTTTAAAGGACAATATTGATGCCAGTCATTATCACATGTGATAGAACTGGTGAAAAACATTCCAAATATAATTTTAACACAGAGACAATTGCTACGATAGCTGAGTAATACAGGTTTCCTGAATCGAAAGTGACGAACTCCAAAGGAAAACACGAGTCATCCCTCTATATAACTGACTGAAGTGACGAGTGATAACAGATACATGGCCGAATTTCTGCTCACTAATAATTCCTTCGAAGACCAAAAGTTCTTATATAGGACTGTAAGAGGATACATGACAATTAAATAAAGTAATTGAATGTCATTAGAATATGTTTATATTCATTCTATACCTTATAAAAACATGGTAATGCACGGACTTTTTCTGTTTTTCTTTCGTGTTCTCTTATCTAGTGGCAGTCAATTCTTTTTATGAATTGTTAGATATCCTCTCACAGTCTCCATTGTGTACTTTTGTCTTTTAATTTTTTTAATAATTTTAATCGGTTTATACTGTGCTCAATTTGAGGAATAAACAATTCGGCGTGTGTAAAATGACGTGTAAATTCTAAATTTAGGACCGTGCGTAAAATGGCGTGTACTACATGATGATATCCCCAAAGTGTGCATGTTTTGTTATTCCGCTGTATGTCTGTACCTTGTCAAAGTAATTAAAGGACGTAACTCTATTCTTTTGGAGGGGGGTTGGATGGCTGAATGGTTAACACGTGCGCGCTGTATCATAAAGTCTGTCCAACCCAGTGGCGGCGCCAGGGGGGGGGGCCTATTAATCTGGTCTGCCCTGTTTGCCCCCCCCCCCCCCCAATAATTTTAGAAAATAAAAAAAAGTATTTGTGATACGTTTCGGTAATCAATACCTTCTACGGTGAATAAATCCCACATCCCCACTTAGTCATAAACTTGCATGTTGTAAAGCATTTTCGACAGTCTATTTTTCAAAATTTTCTTGGCGAGGTCCCCAATGGACTCGCAACTTTGGCGCTCACAAGGGGAATTCGTTGAGGTTCGCAAGTCCGTTCGTTTGACATTTTGTTCTCTAGTCGGATAAACTAGTGATCAGGCGACGAACGGTATCTGGGCAGATCTATTTATCTCGACGATCGGTGCCTGACAGAATATTGTAAGACAGCATTTCCGGCAGTCTATTTTTCAAAATTTTCTGGGGGAGGACTCCCTACTTTGACGCTCGTAAGTGGGCTTCGTCGTGATTCGCAAGTCCGTTTGTTTGACACTTTACCTCATCGATCAGTGCCTGAAATACTGCCAGGCTGCATTTCCGGCAACCTGTTTTTCAAAATTTTCTGGGGGAGCCCCCCTACCCCTAGTTGAAGTTCGTGCCTTTGCCCCCTTAACCTTCGACTTTGCCCCAGCTTTGCCCCTCCAATCACCGACGGCTGGCGCCGCCACTTGTCCAACCTCGTGGGTTTTCTCCGGTTTCCTCCCACTGCTAAAGACCCCTACGCGCAAGCGAATTATGGAAATAAAATTGGACCATATGTTAGTCCCGAAATGACCTAGTTTGTGTCGAGTGGACGTTAAACCCCACCTCTCTCTCTCTCTCCCTCTCTTCTTTTGGGCGTTTAAATAGACGAAGGGGAGTCTACAAGCACATGATAATGTTATATGTGATATGTGAATGTAAGTGATTTATATTTAATTTTTCAAATAAATTATTGTAATTTCTAATCAGTCATGCTCGGTAAAATATGTGAACAGTCCCGAATGAACAGTTATCGTTAACGCCTGCTTAGCCCATTCTACACGTTTTAAAAATTATTTTGTCGTCTGTGAACGAGCCATTATATTACTAATAACTTCTGCATTGCCTTGATGACGTTTTTCATTGTTCATTTTAAAAATTTCGAATGTTATTTAAAATATTGAGTAAGAGGTTTGGCTCCTTTAAACTACTTAGGCGCATTATATCCCGGTTGGCGCTGACGTGTCATTAAATCACATTTCATGCATTCACAGGGATGGGATTTCGCAAGTATATTCCGGACTTGTCCGACGCTATTTCCCAAACGCCCTATATGAACTAAACCGAACGGGAAAATGCAGAATGGAGAAGTGTAATGTGCAAAATAACTATTATACTGTATTTTGTATTATTAAAATCTGTATTCTGTATTTTAACACTGTGGCATCGGTATTGTGGAGTAATGGAAATTGCAAATTGTAAAACTAAAATTATACGTATTTTGAACTGCAGGCATATGCAGTTTGCACCTTGAACAAATGGAATGAAATTTAACGTCCTCCTGTTCTGCTCCGAACTGGGCTTATGAAGACGGGCATACGCAATACCGTGTGCTATGAGGGAAATTTTGCCCGGACAGCGGCACTACGGCTTACTCTTATATCGAATTCCAACTGTCAAATGATCTTTTACGTGCACGCCAATGTGTACACGGGACCTCGTTTTTTTCGTCCCATCCGAACGACTAGACAGCTGTCCTTGTCAGGCCCTGCACCTTGAACAATGAAATAATATTGGCAACGTTATTTTTTTTTATTGAAACATCAGTGTCAGGCCTACACCCCATAGTACATTGTGTTATAATTACAATTAACATCAAAAGAAAATATTTTCTATTACAACATCAAAATATACCAGCGGCTGCCAGGCAGGATACGCCCACATTTTGCAAGCGATGGATAGAGAACAAGCTAAAAAGAAATGTGATTTTTTGTACAATCAGGGGCAATAATCCAGAAAGTCATGACCTGAAATGTGCAAATATCAAAAGGGACAGAGATCTTTGGGATATAAAGATATGTTTTAAGTTTCATCAAAATCGGATAAAAATTGTGACCTCTAGAGGGTCCACAACCTTCGTATTACACACTTCTACACAATTTGCGTACAAGGAGCGGCCAGTTTGTCGGGCAGTTTCATTTCGATTTTCCCGAAATACGAATTCAACCTTCATTATGGTGGAATGGTGATAAATTTAAACGGTTTTTAAAATCGGAAAACAAATGTGACCTCTAGAGAATCCGCAAGCTAAAAATGCGATTTTTCGAACACTCAGGGGCCATAATCCAGGAAGTTAAGTTAAGGAACTAAGATCTTAGTGTGTAATGGTGATATATTCGCGCGGTTTTTTTTTAATCGGATAAAAATTGTGACCTCTACATGGACAACAAGCTAAAAACGTGATTTTTTGTTCAATCAAGGGCCATAATTCAGGAAGTTACGATCCGATTTGCGCAAATATCGAAAGGAACCAATATATTTGGGTTATAAACATGTATTTCAAGTTTAATCGAAATCAGATCAAAACTTTGACCTCCAGAGGATCCACAACCTTGATTTACCAGATCTTTCTGCTGCGTTCGACACCTTGAACTAACTGTATTGATAAATCGTCTCCATGACGAATTCGGACTAGATGGTGCTGTGCTGAAGTGGTTTTCATCAAGCCGAGTTAATTGTAGACAGTCAGGGAAAGTTTCGTATGGTCAAACTATTAAAAATCTCCCTTGTCAAATAAACCATTGTAACGAAATGAAATGAAATCAAATGAAATGGGGTTTAACGTCCTACTGTTCTGCTCCTAACCTGGGCTAATGAAGACGGGCATACGCATACAGTGTGCTATTAGGGAATTTTTACCCGGACAGCGGCACTACGGCCTACTCTTATATCGAATTCCAACTGTCAAGGGAACTTTTACGTGCACGCCAGTGTGTACACGGGACCTCGGTTTTTCGTACCATCCGAACGACGATAAGTTGTCCCTTGCCGGGACCTCTATTCAGTACAGGTTATAAGGACAACAGTAAGACGTTGGCTCGCTGTCCTTGGTGTGTCGTGTTCGATCTCATTGCTGAACGAGGAATTTCATCGTGTTTTTACGTGTCCCCCCCCCCCCCTTTGTCTGTGGTGAAAATTGGTGGGTCTGGCAGTTCGGATGGATCGAAAATCCGACGTCCCGTTTACACATTGGCGTGCACGTAAAATTGGATAGGAGAATAGGCCGTAGTGAAGTTGTCCGGGCAAAATTTCCCTCTGCATGGTGTATAGTGTATGTCCGTCTTTATTATCCCAGTCCGTTTGGAGTATCAATAGAAAAGGCTAATTCCATGATATAACACTATGCACGCAGTAGTGCATTCCATCTAATGATTTATTTTAGTTTATATTTCGCGCGGAAAAATTATAATTTCGTTTACCGAAAACCACGGCAAACAACAGTAAGCGCTATAGTGACAGTGTGTATTGATTGATCAGCTGCTTTTCAGTTTCTACCCCACACAGCACCTCCCATAATATTTACAGAAATGATATAACAAATAACAATATCTAAGACATTTCGGTAAGACGGATTCGGAGAGAGAGAGAGAGAGAGAGAGAGAGAGAGTTTCGCGTCCTCTCGACACAAACTAGGTCATTTCGGGACTGACACTTGGTTCAATTTTATTTCAATAATTCGCTTGTCCATAGGGATCTTTAGCACTGGGAGGAAACCGGGGGATCCAGAAAAAAACCGCGAGGTTGGACAAGCGACCCTACTCCTTGTCACGTACAACCGGGGAATCTAAATCCCGCTAGTTGACTCAATGACAGACTTTATGATACAGCGCGCACGTGCTAACCATATACATCTACCATCCAAACGCCCCAAAAATGAACAAATGTGCGAGCCGTCAAGACGAATTCGACGATCCATCCTCAAATACAGGCCAATTCGGATATTTTCGATTTCCGGTACGAACTATCTCACAAGTGCCGGAAGTGGAATACATAAACAAAGCTTGAACGGGAAAATCGGAAAATGCCTGATGTTTCGGCGTGTTTAGCTGCGGCAACCTTTATGTTAATATCTATTATTCCTTTTTATTTTAGTAATGATGCCCAGCCTAAACCATATATGGATGAAATATTCCATGTTCCACAAGCCAAGCGATTCTGTGATGGCAATTATAGCTATGTAAGTACAGGGGGGCCGGGGATGATTATTCATTCAGTCATCATAATGTTATTGTTTAAGCAGACTACGTCAAATCCGACACGTGACCTATTGTTTCAGCTGTTCATTATTATTTCATTGCATGATTAGATAGATTTTACTACCTGATCAGCAGTGAATATTCGCTAGGCCGATCCAAGGATCACATCCGATGTGATTTTAAAATTTTAGAGACCCAAATATAGATTTTACTACACTGAATCTAATCAGATGCTAGGTCGCTACAATCACTGATAAGGATGACATCGATGCGACTCAATAAGCCCAAAATATTACCTTTTTTCCTCCGACAAATTAAATTCTTAAAAATATTTTTTTTATGTATTAGAAATATAAATAAACACGTTTGAAGTATTTGTACTAATTTGTAGGTAAAAATTTATTTCCTATTTAGTGTAAATGGGTATTGAAATGAGTAAAAGGCACCATTCTGCCCGAACCAGTAACGTCATATGTAAACAATGCACGAATGCATTCGCCATTGAGACAATGATTGACGCTGCGTGATATGACGTCACATGTTGAAGACAGTCATCTTTTACAGAGATTAGAAGACTTTTGTAATCCTCTGTGAAACAGATTCAGATTTTACATAAAAAACATCAAACTGTAATGGTCGACACATTTATATGGTCCAGAAAATAAAAACTATTTCGAAATTTGTTTCATGCCATTTGCCATGCATATTGAATTTCAAATCGATACATCTATCACATATAGCAATATTTACCACGCATGTAAGAAACCATTCGTCAGGACTTTCACTGAAAATGGGGGGTTGGATCAAATGTCTGTCATTGAGACGAGAGTCTTGGTTTTGTTTCCCCGCTTCGGCGATGACAAGAAGGGATACCTGTCTAGTTCAGCACTGAACGTAGGTCTCATTACACTCGCCCTGTACGTTCAGGAACCACCCTATTGAATTCTTGTCGAAAAAGTATCGGCCCCCAGTCAATTTTACTGGGCAACTTTTTACTGCTCAACGGTCATGTGTCAGTCTTTGTGAACGCCTGAACATTTTAGGGAGAAAAAGACCTTGCTTACTTCGCTAGAGCCAGTATTTGCATCACAACATGGTGTTGAAAATAGGGGATCACGTGGCTAAGTGGGTAAGACGCTAGCTCGCTAGCCTGGAGGTCGGGTGTTCGATCCCTGCATTGGCCAAGAAAGTTCATCCAGATTTTCCGGCGTGGTTCTCCCTTGTCAGTGATGCAGGACGGAGGGGCTGACAAGGAAAGCTGTCTAGTCGTTCGGATGGGACGAAAAACCGAGGTCCCGTGTACACATTGGCGTGCACGTAAAAGATCCCTTGGCAGTTGGAATTCGATATAAGAGTAGGCCGTAGTGCCGCTGTCCGGGCAAAATTTCCCTCATAGCACACTGTATGGCGTATGCCCGTCTTCATTAGCCCAGGTTAGGAGCAGAACAGTAGGACGTTAAACCCCATTTCATTTCATTTCATTTCGGTGTTGAAAATAGGTCTCCATCTGCTAAACGGCTTGGGAGAAGACATTGAAATTTGAATATAGGGTAACGCACAAATTTATGTAACTCGTCCATGGTAAGCAGGTGAAACAAAATTGGAATCTTTGAAAAAATTTGATTATAATTGGGCTAGGCAAAGCAATAAATGACTGAAGATTCTCAACTTTTCAAAAATTCCAATTTTTTCCTCCCTGCTTACCTGTGGGGGTTGGATGGTCGAATGGTAAGCACGTGCGCGCTGTATCATAAGACCTGTCATTGAGCCAACTGGCGTGGTTTCGAAACACCGGTTGGAGCGACAAGGAGTAGGGTCGCATGTCCATCCTCGTAGGTTTTCTCCGTTCTCCGGGTCCTCCGGTTTCCTCCCACTGTTAAAAAAAAAAACCTACGCGCAAGTGAATTATTGAAATAAAATTAATGTTAGTCCCGAAATGACCTAGCTTGTGTCAAGTGGACGTTAAACCAAATCTCTCTCTCTCTCTCTGCTTACCTGAATTCTAAAAATGACTAAATTTATTGATGTTTTGATTTCAGTGGGATCCAATGATTACAACACTTCCTGGTCTATATATAGTATCAGTAGTTATACTAAAACCATTGTCTCTAATACTACCACACACTCAAGATGTCTGCTCAACTCATAATCTACGAGCCGTTAATCTCCTGTTTATGGCGGGGAATATGTTCTTATTGTATCTCATTATCAAGAGGATTCACGTCAACAATAAGGTCAGTTACGTTATAGGAGTTTGGATGGTCGAATGGTTAGCACACGCGCGCTGTATCATCATAAGGTCTGTCATTGAGTCAACTGGCGTGGTTTCGATTTCCCGGTTGTACGTGACAAGGAGTAGGGTCGTCTGTCCTACCTCATGGGTTTTCTCCGGGTCCTTCGGTTTCCTCCCACTGCTAAAGACCCCTACAAACAAGCGAATAATTGAAATGAAATTGAACCACGTGTTAGTCTCAAAATGACCTAGTTTGTGTTGAGTGGATGTTAAACCCCATTTCTCTCTCTCTGTAAGGGGATCACGGTGGCTCGCTAGCCTCGAGGTATGGTGTTCGATCCCTGCATTGGCCGAGAAAGTACATCCAGATTTTCCGGTGTGATTCTCCCTTGTCAGTAATGCAGGGCGGCGGGCCTGACAAGGACAGCTGTCTAGTCGTTCGGATGGGACGAAAAACCGAGGTCCCGTGTACACATTGGTGTGTACGTAAAAGATCTCTTGACAGTTGGAATTCGATATAAGAGTAGGCCGTAGTGCCGCTGTCCGGTCAAAATTTCCCTCATAGCACACTGTATGGCGTATGCCCGTCTTCATTAGCCCAGTTCGTAGCAAAATAGTAGGACGTTAAACCACATTTCATTTCATTTCGTTTTCTCTCTTAGTAACTTCCCCCCATATCTCTCAACTAATCAGAGATGACAGATAGTCAAGTGGTCTAATGTGTTTGCTTCAGATCGTAAGGTCCGGCATCGAGGCAAGTTGTGTGGCTTCGATTGTCATGTGCCTATTAGTATGGTCACCTGACTAACTTCATTGGTTTTCTATGACGTGGTTTCCCCTTGTATATATATAAGAGTAGGCCATAGTGTCACTGCCTGGGCAAAATGTCCCTCATTTCGTTGGTTTTCTCTCCAGGTCCTTCAGTTTCCTAAAGATCCCTATTCACTATCAAATTATTCACTCATTATAAAAATTGAATGGTCAGCTTTAAACTGGACACAAGCACAAATTAGATGTTTTTTGGTGATTTTAAATGATTTTTTGAGTTTTTAACCAAAAAAAAAGGGTTATTGAATGAATTTGAAAGAAATTAGTGCAAAATACACGATTAAATGATATCCGGGTTACTGTAGTAATTTGCAGACAAATACGATAAAAATCCTTTTAAACTAAAAATATTTGTTGTTTGTATTTTTCAGATGATCTCAAATTCAACATTAGTTCTGAATGCGTGGACGCTTGCGTTTTTCCCAGTGTTATATTTCTTTTCGTGGATGTATTATACCGATCCAGGGGCTGTGTTTTTTACACTTTTAATGTACTATCTTAATCTCAAAAGTAGCCATTTTGTGTCGGCCATTTTTGGAGTGGTTGCCATAGTGTTCAGACAAACCAATATAATCTGGGTGCTGTTTGTGTTGGGCTTAACCAAGGGAAGACAACTCATAATTTGGATGGAGCAAGAAAAGAAAGATATTACACGGATGACAGACTTAAGAACTTTAATCACGTTATTCAATTTAATTTTCAAATCGGTCAGACACAAACCTTCTCGGATCTTTGAGCTGATCCAAGCCATCGTTAAATCAACTTGGTGTTATATTGCAGTGGTCATCAGCTTTATAACGTTCGTGTTTATAAATGGTGGGATTGTCGTGGGAGATAAAAGTCATCATCAAGCATGTTTAAACTTTCCACAGATCTTCTATTTTCTGTGTGTAACGTTAGCGTTTTCGTGTATGCATATCGCAAGTCCCTCGAAAATTGTCTACTTCTTGAAATTTTCGTTTCAGAGTCCCGTAAAAGTGTCTGTGTTTGTGTTATTAGCATATTATTTAATCGCAAATTACACCTACGTTCATGAATATTTATTAGCTGACAATCGTCACTATCCATTTTATGTCTGGTCAAAGATATTTAAACGTCATGAAAACGTCAAATATGGGCTTATAGTTGTTTATCTATTCGCTGCAATAGCCGTTTCCAAAGCACTCGAAAATAAAGACGTGTTTTGGAAGATTGTATTCTTAATATGTCTTTGTGCTTGTAGCATTCCTCAAAAACTGTTAGAATTTAGATATTTCATTATTCCATATTTAATATTTCGAGTTAATATTACAGTAACTTCTAAATTTAAATTATTTTTAGAATTGTTGTTATATATCAGTATTAACGTTCTCACCGTTTATATCTTTATTTATAAAACGTTTAAATGGAGCGATTCGGATGATCTTCAAAGATTTATGTGGTGATGGGATAGGAAACAAAATATTTATGTTGGTAATAGAGACAGATATATGCCATGCGGTGTGAGAGAGAGAGAGAGAGAGAGAGAGAGAGAGAGAGAGAGAGAGATCCACTGGACACAAACTAGGTTATTTTGAGACTAACATGGTTCAATTTTATTTCAATAATTCGCTTGCGCGTAGGAGTCTTTAGCAGTGGAGGGGGGTTGGATGGCCGAATGGTTAGCACGCGCGCGCTGTATCATACGGTCTGTCATTGAGTCAACTGGGGGACCCAGCAAAAACCCACGAGAATGGACAGACAACCCTGCTCCTGGTCACATCATGTACAACCGGGGAATCGATACCACGCCAGTTGACTCAATGACAGACCTTATGATACAGCGCGCAGGCACTAACCATTCGGCCATCCTATGTCCTATGAAGGAATTTCAGCAAGGGCACCAGCATTTTCATCTGCTCTACATCAAATTCCAACTGCAAGGAAAGGGTTCTTTTTTTTACATGCCTATGTATCCATGAAACCTCAGTTCTTGGTCCCATCAAACAACCTTGTTTTAAACATTTTGATTAGGCTTAATAATTTCTCTTACAGAGCTGTCATGACATTAGGAATTTTTAATGGGTTTGACAGGGTTTATAAGTTGCAAGCAAGAAATCCAAGACTGACTAACATGTACAATACATTATGAATTTTTAAAGAGTTTGACAGGGTTATCAGTTACAAGCATGAAATCCAAGACTAACTTACAATACAAATGAAATAATACTTAATTTATATTTCATCGAAAACAGGCGTATTTATTCATTGTTATCTGCTAGGCTTGATAGGAACTGACCATGTGATTGATCTATTTTCTATAAAAGTCTGGGACCAATAAAATCCAGTTTGATGTCACACAAAATTTTGATCAGCATACAATCTGAATAAAACACAGATCTTATTTCGTTTTGTTTTTTATAGTTCAATATTTCGTTTTACTTGTCTTTACTACGCCAGGATCTGGAAGAGTTGTTATATAACCCTCGTTCTGGTTGATGTGAGGGATAAGCCAATGAAACCGGTTTGTTGTAGCGAATTCTTGGCATACGATGCACGGAACTGTTGGTAATTTACCAGAAACATCAACGCTGATTGGTTAATCAAATATCTGATGTCATACGGTCGAAACCCACTCGTATGACTGCTGACGCGACCTTACACTACAACTGGTCAGATCTTCATGTAGTAGAGGCCATTGAAAGTATAAAAAAACCAAAACGAAATATAGATCTGTATTTTAATTACATGTAGATTGGATCAGCATATAGAATAGTATTTTTGTCATATCATCATTTATATATGTAGACTTGTATCATCGTGTTGTTAATAGGAAATATATATAGATTCCTACCTAACGTAAACTCATTTTTATCAACAGTCTTTTTAAATGTGTTCAGTTGTCTTACAATTTATAAATAATTCCATCTTTAATTAAAGATTATCTAAAAGCTAGATCTGCCTATTGCAGTCTTTCTTTTGGCTTCATTTGTTATATAAATTATTAATTAGTTATTTTTTAGAATGACAAGCCTATAATCAACACTCTAGATCATCCAAAGGTTACGTATTTAAGATTTTATTACTTACTTTGAAATGGTTAAATAATTTAGCTCCTGTTTACCTCTCCAATTTTTTGGAACTTTATACATCTAACCGAACATTACGTACATCAGATAAACTACTTTTAAAGCCCAAAACTGTTCAACTAGTCTCTTATGGTCAGCGCTCTTTTAGTTATCATACACCTGTTTTATGGAATAATCTACTAAGATATTGTACATCTCTATATTCTTTTAAAACACAACTTAAACACATTTATTTAATCAGGCTTTTAACTGACTCTGTATACAATCGTTAACATGTCCATAACCTTGTTGTTTATTTATGATTACATTGTCAATTTGAAAAGTGTCCCTAAGCATGTTATATAATAGGCATAGGCGTACGGGCTGGGGTGGCGGCCGTCCCCCCATTTTGGGCACCAAATGCTGGGAAAATTTGGGCACACAATTGTACTTTGTAAAAGTTGTATACAAAAATATTGTGTTCTTGAATGTGTCCAATTTAACAGCGAATTTATTATTATTATGTAACATACTAAGAACCTAACTACATTTTTGGGGCACCAACCACCACCGCCCCCCCCCCCCAGTCAAAAATTTCCCGTACGCCTATGATAATAAGATGCACTATAATAATAATAATTTAATCTGTTAAAATTAAAATGGAATATTAATTTTTTGTTGATTATTTGTTTATTATGTAGCAATATGGAAACTTCAAACAATTATAACTCAATTTGATTAAAACACAGATCGTATTTCGTTTTGTTTTTATAGTTCAAAATTTCGTTTTACTTGTCTTTACTTCACCAGGATCTGGAAGAGTTGTTATCATTGACGTGTTTTGGATGATATGAGGGATTAGCCAATGAAACGTTCTGTTACTGCAAGCTTTTGGTGTGTGGTGCACGAAACTGTGGGTAATCCACTAGAAACATCAATGCTGATTGGTTAATCAAATGTCTGACGTCGTAGGTTCAAAAGCCGCTCGTATGACCTCTGAAGAGGCCTTCCAAAGCAACCGGTCAATCTTCATGTAGTGTAGGCTACCGAAAGTATAAAAAACAAAACGAAATATAGATCTGTGTTTTAATCAGATTGATAATAACTTTTTCAGAATAAAGCAATTTGACTGAAATTTTCAATATATTCATTTTTCATTATCTATTTTAAAACTGTCAGCACTTTATCTAGAAGTGGGTTATATGCACATGATGGAAGACAGAGAGAAATGGGTCATTTCGGGACTAACAGCACTTAAATCATATGGTCAATAAAAAAAAAAAATTTATATAATAATAATACATGTATGTCCATTTATATAGCGCCAAATCCACGAAACATGTTCATAACGCAAACATACAACAACTATATACAAACGTTCATGATATGAGGTTGCCTTTCATATGACTGTAATAGTAAGTGCAGGAGGACCGCACTACACGCAAAACAAAAATCTACAAGATAAACCTGCGAACAAGACAGAAAATAGACATTGCACCAAATAAACAAATATCAAATCAAGTGAATGGATCCGGGGGCCAGCCATAAGCGTCCACTGCACTGTACAGTCCCAGGCCTGTAGTGACACAGACTTCACTCAACATTAAGACAAACAATCAGGAATACAAAAAAGACAAAACAGAAATAATGCGACCAATTTTGACAGTGGTCGTATTTTCTCAATTTTTGTAATGAATTTTTGAAATCAAGATTTGAAGATTGACAAAGAAGTCTCAAAACGCCATTCAAACATTTAGTGGTTTCTTCACATATAGCCCCATGTCCCCGGTTGTACGTGACAAGGAGTAGGGGCGCCTGTCCAACCTCGTGGGTTTTCTCCGGGTCCTCCGGTTTCCTCCCACTGCTAAAGACCCCTATGCGCAAGCGAATTATTGAAATAAAATTAAACCATATGTTAGTCCCGAAATGACCTAGTTTGTGTCGAGTGGACGTTAAACCCCATTTCTCTCTCTCTCTCTCTATAGCCCCATGTTTGGTCAAGTGTTCTATTAAAGATACATTATGTAAGATTTAAATAAAGAGTTGATTGTTCTTGCTATAATAGTTTAAAAATAGATAATGCAAAATGAATACGCTGTAAACTTGGTCGAATGATTCGTCTAATATGTCGACCGCTTTAGTTAAAGACCCCGTCATCAATTTTCGTACAATATCTAATTTTACATGGTTTAAAGATACATTATGTAACATTTAGATAAAGACTTGACCGTTCTTGCTATAATAATAGTTTGAAAATAGATACTGAAAATTGAATATACTGAAAATTTCATTCAAATTACTTTATTCTGAGCCAAGTAATTACAGGTGTACAGGTGTGTACACATATAGCAAAATATTTCGACGTGTGTTCTTGTGATATAAACTGTGTTTTAATTTTATTTATATTAAAGTTGCAATTTCATATTTTTACGTTATATTTTTAAAATTTATTAAAATAAAGCCTTAAAATAGATGGTATCTATAAACAGTCCTACCTTGTTAAAGAATAATCCTGTTAATCCTATAATTCACTATTGCCAGTTGAGAAATTGGCAAAAATATCATTTTCATCTTCAAATTCAATTGTTTGAAGATAACTACTCCATGGTGGAGAATAGAAAACAAGGGAGGTAATTGTGTTATTATTTTCGGTGTAAATAAGTTTTAAGTGTGAGAATGACGCCTATGATCGTATAATAGTGAGTTGACCACCTATTGAGCAAAAGACATAGAAATAATTATGTTTTGACTTTCTTAGAAAATATGAAATTGTGACTTTAAACATACATTAGGCAACGAGCTAAATCTACCTATTGCAGGTCTTTCTTTACCCTGAAATGGTTTCTAAATTATTAATTAGACATTAATTAACTTATCCAGGCCATAATCAACTCTTGATGGCATCGGATTTCTCTGATATTAAATAGATTAGAACAGTTCAGCCATATTTTGATTTAAGCTAAAAATGGAGGAGCGAGACTTAGCTTAGAACAACCAGTATTGTGGTTCGAAATTTTTGCACACGTCTTGTCAGACCTTCAAAGACTAATATCTTCGCTTGCAATAGAGTAATTTGAATGAAATTTTCAAATTATTCATTTTACATTATCTATTTTCGAACTATTATAACAAGAATGGCCAGCTCTTTAATGAAATCTTACATAATGTATCTTTAAACTATTATAGCAAGAATGGCTAGGTCTTTATCTAAATCTTACATAATGTATCTTTAGTGTAAAGTAAGGTATTTGTTTTTTGTTGTATTTTCTTGTCAGACGTTGACGTCCAGAATTAAACAAGACGGTTTAATAGTTTATGTCTCGTTTTTCTTGATCAAAATTATCTATACTATTATTTGTGACTGTCGTTTGTTTGTCTGTCAGTCTATTTAGGGTTGGCGGCTACACTAGGGGTGTTCCGAGGCTGAAATTTGGTGTATTGGGGTAGCTCAGAAAGGGGATTCTGCTTGTCTGTCTGTCTATTTAGGGTTGGCGGCTACACTAGGGGTGTCCCGAGGCTGAAATTTGGTGTATAGGGGTAGCTCGGACCAGGGATTAACATCAGCCTGCTGGCGTACCGTTGGACTTCCGGTTTCAGAGTTGACTACTTTCAACCCGTGCAGCTCTGGGTTATCCGCTGGTCTGTAATAAAAAAAACAAAATAATGGGTGTAGGGTTTAGGGCCCAGTGTCTAGTTGTTAGGATGGGTCAAAATCAAGATCCTGTGTACTGGACGGGCCCTGTTTCACAAAAACTTAAATCTCCTTAAAATCGTCTTAAACTAAAATCTATTTTAGTTTAAGTTTTTGTGAAACAGGGCCCTGTGCACATAAAAGAAACCTTGATAGTTTAAAATCGGGGCAGGATTTCTGATACAGCACACCTGTCTTCATTTCTACCGTCTCACACTGATCAGCAGTGAATATTAATTAGCTAGGCCGCTATAATCGCTGATAGGGATGACATCGATGCGACTTAATGAGCCCCCAATATTAACTTTTCTCCTTCCGCAAATTAAATTGTAGAACATTTTTTTTAAGCATTAGAAAAATAAATGTGTTTGAAGTATATGTACCAGTAGGTAAAAAATATGTCCCATTTGGTGTAAATGGGTATGTACAATGAGTAAAAGGCACCATTCTGCCCGTACCAATGATTGATGCCACGTGATGTGACGTCATGTGTTGAAAGCAGTCATTTTTTACTTTCGTAATCCTCTGTGAAACAAATCAGTACCGCCTATGAAAGACCGCCATGGAAACAAATTTTAAAGCTTTATAGTTAGAGTAACCAGATTAAGTTTCCAACCAAGTTCCGACATGGTTTCCCCTTGTCAGTGATGCATGACGGGAGGGTCTGACAAGGACAGCTGTCTAGTCGTTCGGATGGGACGAAAAACCAAGGTCCCATGTACACATTGGCGTGCACATAAAAGATCCCTTGACAGTTGGAATTTGATATAGGAGTAGGCCATAGTGCAGTTGTCCGGGAAAAATTTCCCCCATAGCACACTGTATGCCCGTATTCATTAGCCCAGTCCGGAGCATAACAGTAGGACATTTGTAACACTATGTCTTACAGATAACAGAATATCAGCATAATTATAAGACCTTTATTGAGAACATGAAATAGACATAAATCGAGAGGAGCTCTATTCCAAGTCTTACTTGCTGTCAGTAAACGTCTGTTTATAAAGCCTCTAACAATTAGCTGAGGTGGACAAGAGTAATAATCATATATGGTATTGTTTATTATCAATTATGGTGTTTGTAATTAAACTGCATATTTCTTTGAAAGTCATTGTCAGGTCAAGGTATAATGAACTGACCACTAATACATTCTCTTTGAAATTCAGTCTAGTGTTACATGCGGATCATGTGTAGCTTGTTAAAGAACATCTTGAATAAACTAGATGTTTATTAAGAACGTGTCTTCACAGAAGTTGTCGAGAGTTTAAACGTCAACTTCAGTTATAGATCAGATTGTCACACCAGGTTGCTTATTAAAAATAAATAACGAACATAATATAAACGTCAACTTCAGGTATAAATCACTCTGTTACAAGGTAAACTCCGTTTCATTTCCAACCAAAAGTCTGGGAATGTCGAGCAGATCAACGTGAACTTGTGTGGTCTTAAGACATACCTTAATTGGAGTTATCTCCCTTCTACAATGTTATTCAGTCAGTATTTGCTTAAAACTCATCAGTGGTAAATAATCGCTTAGAGTGTCTCTCCATAAAAATATTCCCAACCTCCATCCTTTGAGTGGTAATTTGTTTTAAAACTCTCGCCTATAATGGCTTAGTCTAGTATAGGTAGGACAGTGCCAATCTGATCAAAACACGGATCCTGTTTTGTTTCGTTTTAATTGTCTTTACTACACTAGGATCTGGAAGAGTTGTTTGTTATGTAACCCACGTTCTGGTTGATGTGAGGGATAAGCCAATGAAACGGTTTGTTGTGTCTGACGTCATAGGGTCAAAAGCTGCTCGTATGACTCCTCACGGGAACCCCCCGGTTCAAACTCAATTAAGAGTAGGCTAGGTCCACGGACACGCTGCCCGGGCAAAACTGCATCTATAGCAAACTGCATGACATAGACCCGCTCTTCGTTATCCTAGTTCGTGCAGATTAACTGTAGGACGCCATTTCATTCAAGAATTAACAAATCAGTCGAGAATATCAAAAAAACGGGATGACTGCACACTATATAGCTAGTTAATGCGTACGGTATACGAATGAGGTCGAAACAAAATGAAATGGGTTTTTTATGACCTACTGTTCTGCTCCGGCTGGGCTAATGATGATGGACATGCATCATACAGTGTGCTATGAGGGAAATTTTGCCGAGGCAGCGGCACTATATCGAATTCCAACTGCCAAGGAATCTTTTACCAATGTAGGCCTAAACACGGGACCTCAGTTTTTTGTCCGATCCGAACGAGTAGACAGCCGGAAATATGAACGCAACGAGATCCAACAATTTGTCGTTGGGCAATTTCATTAGAATGACCTAATAATGAATGATTTTGTTGTCGTTGCACGCTACTGTCGACGTTAGAAATAATATTTTATCGCCATGGTTTAATAGGGTTAGACTGATGACGGACTGTCTGTAGTCGCATCCACGTCTTGGAAACAAATTAATATATTCATATCTATTATAATCAAACTGTTTATTGATATAAAAATACAAATATATCCAGATATTATTTTAACGTGTACATTGTTAAATATGACTTAATAAAGAGGAAATATCACTTTCATAAAGAAAAAAAAATGCCTTGCGTTGCGCAGGTACGTAGAACAAAAACCGAAAGTAGTAGCCTATAGAATCCTGAAACCAGTAGCCTACAATCCGAAAACTGGAAGTAGTAGTGTATAATCCATAAAACGGAAATAGTAGCCTACAACCCCGAAACCGGAAGTAGTAGCCTATAACCCCGAAACCGGAAGAACTACAATAATACCAACTGATGGAAGAACAATCACTCGTTTAGCTTTAGATCATAAGGTCTGGCATTGAGTCAAGTGGTGTGGTTTTAATTCTAAGCGTGTACAGACAAGGAGTAAGGGTTGCCTGTTAAACCTTGTGGGTTTTCTCTGTGTCCTTCAGCTTCCTCCCGGCCGGCCCTACGCAGTGAATGATTGAAATTCAATTAAACCAGATCTGAAATGGAGAGAGAAATGGGGTTTAACATCCACTCGACACAAACTAGGTCATTTTGGGACTAACATATGGTTTAATTTTTATTTCAATAATTCGCTTGCGCGTAGGGGTCTTTAGCAGTGGAAGGAAACTGGAGAAAACCCACAAGGTTAGACAGGCGACCCTACTCCTTCTCACGTACAACCGGGGAATCGAAACCCCGCCAGTTGAGGGAAATTTTGCCCGGGCAGCGGCACTATAGCCTACTCTTATATCAAATTCCAATTGCCATGGGATCTTTTACGTGCATTCCAATGTATACACGGGACCTCGGTTTTTCGTCCCATCTGAACGACTAGACAGCTGTCCTTGTCAGCCCCTCCATATGTTATCAAACAGACCAGATCTTGAAACTATTAATACCTGTTTAAATAATGATTTGATTACCTGTAAATAATCAGAATACAAATATTAATCATATCTATATGTAAATTATATTTAAAATCAATTTATTTACTTGCACATATAATAAAATCGCAGGACTAAGGTTGATTTCAGCAAAAAACATGGACTAACATGGTTTAAAATCATTTTCTGTACTCGCACATATAAAAAAATCGTGGGACTAAGCTTGATTTTAGCAAAAACCATAGAATAACATGATTTAAAATCATTTCTTGTAATCACATTATATAAAAAAATTGCCGGACCAAGCTTGATTTCAGCAAAAACCAAAGACTGGCATGTTTTAAAATCTTTGCACATTAGCGAGAGTGGGTATAATCTCCTGGTAGATTTCAATGCCTCGTAAGAATATGTCTTCATTAAGATATTCATTATGATCATGTAGTAAGATTGGTGTATGATTCATTGGTGAGAACCCAATAGCTGGTATACCACACTGGAATAGAAAATATATTTTATTATTAAATCTCTCATCTATAAAAGTAACATGGTGTCTCACCTTTATAATAAATCTACGAGGGTAACATGGCGTCGCACCTTTCTAATAAATCTGTGAGGGTAACATGGTGTCTCACCTTTCTAATAAATCTACGAGGGTAACATGGTGTCTTACCTTTCTAATAAATCAATGAGAGTAACATGGTGTCTCACCTTTCAATAAATATGTGAGGGTAACATGGTGTCTCACCTTTCTAATAAATCTATGAGAGTAACATGGTGTCTCACTTTTCTAATAAATCTATGAATGTAACAGGGCGTCTCACCTTTCTATTAAATCTATGAGAGTAACATGGCGTCTTACCTTTCTAATAAATCTACGAGGGTAACATGGCGTCTCACCTTTCTATTAAATCTATGAGAGTAACATGGTGTCTCACCTTTCTAACACATCTGTTATCTATGAGAGTAACACAGTGTCTCACCTTTCTAATAAATCTGTGAGGGTAACATGATGTCTCACCTTTCTAATAAATCTATGAAAGTAACATGGTGTCTCACCTTTCTAATAAATCTATGAGAGTAACATGGTGTCTCACCCTTCTAACACATCTGTTACCTATGAGAGTAACATGGTGTCTCACAAATGTTTTTCTTAGAAACAGCATGGTGGCTCACCTTTCTAATAAATCTATGAATGTAACATGTACATGTATATCACCTTTCTAATGAATTTGTTATCTATGAGAGTAACATCATGTCTCATAAATGACATTTTTTTAAAAAACAGCATGGAGTCTCACCTTTCTAATGAATCTGCTATCTGTACCTGCTGGAAATATCTCTGTTTGTATTTTTAAATCCCTGTAGAATAATAAAACATTGATTTATCTTAGTTCTTCTATTTTCAATGTAATCATAAAAAATCAGAACGGATACCATCGCATTCTGATTAAATACAACCCAGTCATCAAGTTCCATCTCATTCTAATTAAAGGGACAATAACACTCTTGCTGGCTTGACAGCTCCAGTAAATAAATATTAGCCTTATTCTAAGTATTAGACGTTTAAGTGTCCTACCTGTTGTGTAAATTATCCATTACATCCTATTTTACTTGTCCAGAGAGGGTTCGAAAATATTTTTAAATCCAAGTCACATTTGAAAAGGTTTACGTTAGGCTTTTCAAATCATTTAGTTGAATTTTTCCAATTTTTTAAATTAGTTGTGTTAAGATGAAATTTGTATCATCAATTAATTGGAATACTGTAAAATAGTACAATTTGTTGACCAGAATAAAGATTGGGACATATTATTCTGTTACAACAAGAGTGGTATTGAGCCTTTAAAGTAGCTAAGTCTCAAACTCAATATCATCCAAAGTCTTCAACATTGAAAATACAAATTATTTTTCAATTTAAATCAACATTGATGCTGTGATCTTGTCGGGAAAAGATGGGTTTCTGATATCCAATATTAAAGACAAAATAAACATCGCGTACCATAATGCGTTTCAGTGCCATTTGTAAGAAGGTACAAGAAAGAACGAGGCTAGACAATCCTTAAATCATGTCAAACGGTGACGCAATATTCTTATCTGGATAGCAGGGAGATTGGAATAACCAGACGCTAGAGATTGCCATTCGATTGAGACTTCTTGTGTATCTCGCAGAACATAACTGATTTAAAATTACAGTATTAAAACAGAAACGACTGAATGTAAATCAGTTTATATACATTCAGATTACATTATTATATGCATTGCGACCCATTTCTTGTCAATATCTAGGTCCCAAATATTAGCGATTTAGCTCCTTCAAAGAGAGAGAGAGAGAGAGCGAGAGATTAACACATGGTTTAATGTTTTTTTCAATAATTTGCTTGAGTGTAGGGTTCTTTAGCAGTGGGAGGAAACCGGAGGACCCAGAGAAAACCCACGAGGTGGGACAGGCAACCAACGAGGTTGGACAGGTAACCCACAAGGTTGGACAGGCAACCCTACTACTTGTCACGTACAACCGGGGATTTGAAACCATGCCAGTTGACTCAATGACAGGCCTTATGATACAGCACGCATGTGCTAACCATTCTGCCATCCAACCCCCCCAATAATCAGAGAACAAAAGAAACCATTTACATAAAACACTGGTTGGTTTCATAATTCCATTCTATCTTATCTAATCCAATAAATCTATACTAATGACCAAAAGAAAGTATACACTCTAAAAATATGACTAAGTTTTGTTTAAGTAAAAAAAAATGTGATAAAACTACACTGAACATGTCCCGTGTGTCCAAACTCAATATTTCTAAGCAAATAAATGGCAAAACAAATGGACATTGCACCAAAATACCGCATAAAATGGAAAAACAACTTTGTTTGAAGCAGGACGAAATGAACAGTGTATACTTTCTTTTGGACATTAGTATATGTTTTAATGTTGACAATCTCACATGTTTAAACAGGCTTGGTGAAATGCACTCCACCATGGATCATTCTCATCAATGCTGGTTAATTCCTGGTGGCAACCTTTCTGTAAGGGAAGAAATAAAGAGGGTGTTATAAATGTACTATTAACACTGTAAGATTTTGATAAAGATCTGGTCGTTCTTTCTATAATAGTTCAAAAACAGATAACGAAAAATGTAGATATTGAAAATTTCATTCATGATCAAATTACTTTATTCAGGGCTTGAACGTCCTAATGTTCCGTACCAACTGGTTATACGCCATGCAGTGTGTGTAGCACTATCGTCGTTGCGACATTGTTTTTAAATTTATAGACAAGGAAATAAGATGGCTTTATATATCATTAATTAATATCTTTGGCAAGTTAGTAATTTCAAACATATTTACATATATAGTGTGTACTAAATCAACTTAGTCTGTAATTGACAGTTTGACACATAAAAAGAGCTATTTAGCCAAAACAGGTGTCAATAATTTAACACCAGATTACATGTGAGTGGAATTATTCTAATTGCATCATTTGGCATAAAGTAACCAATCATATCGTCAATTACACAAGTTCAGGGCCATGATCACACTTGATTGTGCGTGATATTCATATGGCTATAAAAGAAACCGTGGAACTCTGTAAGACACACTTCTATTAGATTCAAGAGAGGTTCCATCTGAGTTCCTAGACAGCCGCGAGGCTGGGTAGGGTGGAGAAATGGTTTTAGCTAGTATTGTAATCTGTGCTTGTATACATGTATTCGGCTATGCTATATAAAATGTAGAAGCAAACTGTTGCATTGTTATTCCTGGTAAGACAAACGTCTTAAGAAAACTGTAGAAGTAAATACACAACGTGAAGCAGAAGTAAAGACAGCTAGAGACAAATTCTAGACGATCACAAGGCTACAGGAATATGTAGTAAGAAAAGATGCATGGGTCTACGTAGGATGTGGCGACCGGTTTTCCCACCCCGCTCCCCGCTCTCCACGTCAGACAGAAAGACCTATGGTGCTACATGTGGTATGAAGGAAATTGTGCCCAGACAGATGAATGTATGCCTACTCTTTGTCTAATTCTATGTACCATGTATTCACACCTTGTATTCACACCACCATGTGTTAACACCATGTAGAGAGACAGAGAAAGATGGGATTTAACATCCACAAACTATGTCATTTCGGGACTAACATATGGTTCAATTTTATTTCAATAATTAGCTTGTGCATAGAGGTCTTTAATAGTGGGAGGAAACTGGAAGACTGGGAGAAAGTCCATGAGGTTGGACAGACGACCCCTCACCATGTCAAGTACAAGCAGGGAATTATAACCACGCCAACTGACTCAAAGACAGATCGTCTGATCCAACGCATACGCGTTAAACCACTCAACCACCCAATCCCCCTATACCACCATGTACACGGAACCCCAGCTTTTTGTCTCATCCAAACAACTAGACAATAATCCATAGCAGACAAGACTGTCTTAACAAGGAGACACCAGCCTAGAAAATCCTGAGGGAATTTCTTGGGTCAACGGCAGGATCGAATCTGGGGGACCTCGTGGGTAGTGAGTCAGTGCGTCTTACTCACTGAGCTGCTGTGGCTCCCCATTTTGGAGATAAATATACGGTTATATTTTTACTTCTATTGCCATGTGAGTTGGGAGAATTTTGCCCTGATAGTGGGTAGGATCCTTATTCACTGAGCCGCCCCAGCCCTAAGTTCACAAAGCATTCTCAGACTTAAGTTAAGACTATACTCAACTTTCAATCACTGTTTATGAGAAATATATTTGATCCAGAAACACAAAATTTTGTACATTGTTTCTTATTAATGTATTTGATACATTAAAACAACAGGTTTTGTAAAGGGCTATATTTTAGTTAGAATAAGGATAATAATTTTGAGTAAATTCTTAACTAAAGTCTGAGAATGCTTTGCAAACTCGAGGCATGGCCTCCCCACATCAAGACAATTTAATAAGAGCAATCAAAGACCAATCTGATTACAATACAGATCTATATTTCGTTTAGTTTTTTTATACTTTCGATGGCCTCTACTACATGAAGATTTGACCGGTTGTAGCGATAGGTCGCGTCAGAGGTCATACGAGCAGGTTTTGACCCTATGACGTCAGACATTTGATTAACCATTCAGCATTGATGTTATTAATGGATTACCCACAGTTCCGTGCAAAACACGCCTAAAGCTCGACGTAACAGACCTTTTCATTAGCTATTCCCTCACATTCAGAATACGTCAATGATAACAACTCTTCCAGATCCTAGTGTAGTAAAGACAAGTAAAACGAAATTTTGAACTATAAAAACAAAAGGAAATAAGATCAGTTTATTAATCAGATTGTGTTAATGCCATCATGGAACTTGATGACTGGTTTGTATTTAAAGGAGCTAAATCGCTAATATATGGGACCTAGATATTGACAAGTAATGGGTCTTCTATAAGTAGCATTTATTAATTGAACAGTACCTCACTAACACTATTTATAGAATAACAATTACTGGTTTATTAACATGCAACGTTTCCACGATCATACTCTCGTCTTTATCAAGCAAATGGGTCGCAACTCATATAATAATGTAATCTGAATGTATATAAACTGATTTACATTCAATCGTTTCTGTTTTTGAACTATAAAAACGAAATGAAATAGGATCTGTGTTTTATTCAGATTGATAATAATACTTACCACAACAAATGAATAAGAAACATCTGAACCTGCTTGATGACACCATGCTGCTATTTGTTTTTCAAACTCATCAAAATCTACATCAGGTGCTACTCGAATATCAAATCCTATTTAAAAACAGATCAATATAAGATTATTCTGGTTCTAAAATAATCCTTAAAAAATAAAGAGTCTCTTTAAAGATACATTATACAAGGCCTGAAATGTTATCTAAATTATTAATTAGACATTAATTAACTTATCCAGATCATAATCAACTCTCGATGGCATTGGGTTTCTCCGATATTAAATAGATTAGAACAGTTCAGCCATAATTTGATTTAGCTAAAAATGGAGGAGCGAGATTTAGCTTCGAACAACCAGTACAGTGGTTGAAATTATTGCACACTTCTTGTCATACGAGAGAGAGAGAGAGAGAGAGAGAGAGAGAGAGAGAGTTTAAGGTCCACTCGACTCAAAATAGGTCATTTTGGGACCAACATATGGTTCAATTTTATTTCAATAATTCGCTTGCGGTGTAGGGTTTTTTTATCAGTGAGAGGAGACCGGAGGTCCCGGAGAAAACCCTTGAGGTTGGATAGGCGACCCTACTCTTTGTCTCGTACAACTGTCGAATCAAAACCATGCCATTTCACTCAATGACAGACCTTATGATACAGCATGCAGGTGCTAACCATTCGGCAATCCAAACCCCACACCCCCAAATAACAGGAGGTAACTCTATAAAAAAATTAAGTACTCATTTATTAAGATCCATTCGACTCTAAGTCAATTCATTTCAATAATTCATTTCAATTAGCACCGGGCGAAAACTGGACGACTGGGAGAAAACCCATGATATTGGACAGCCCAACCTATTTCTTGTCATGTACAACACTCAGTGACAGATGCTATGATCACCTCAATGTCAAGTTGAACGTAGTTTTAAAGTTACACTCCCTCTAACTTCTATCTCAATGTCAAGTTTGACATAATTTTAAAGTTACACTCCCTCTAACTTCTAACTAGATGTCAAGTTTTGACATAGTTTTAAAGTTACACTCCCTCTAACTCTATGTAAATTTGGACACAGATTTAAAGTTACACTCCCTCTAACTTGATGTCAAGTTGGACATGATTTAATGTTACACTCCCTCTAACTCAATGCCAAGTTGGACATAATTTTAAAGTTACACTCCCCCTAACTCGATGTCAAGTCAGACACAGTTTTAAAGTTAAACCCTGTCTTTTTTCTAACTCGATGTCAATGATTAAAAAACTTATATTGACAATTTTACTGCTTACCAACACTGAGTTCAGCAGGAACAACATTAAACTGTATACCACCCTGAAAAAATATATTTATAAATAGTCCAGATCCCGGGGTCACAAAGCATTCTCAGACTTAAATATAGCTCTTTATAAAACTATTGTTGTTTTAATGTATCAAATACATCAAATGAAATGAAATGAAATGGAGTTTAACGTCCTACTGTTCTGCTCCTAACCTGGGCTAATGAAGACGGGCATACGCCATACAGTGTGCTATGAGGGAAATTTTGCCCGGACAGCGGCACTACGGCCTACTCTTATATCGAATTCCAATTGCCAAGGGATCTTTTACGTGCACGCCAATGTGTACACGGGACCTCGGTTTTTCGTCCCATCCGAACGACTAGACAGCTTTCCTTGTCAGCCCCTCAAATACATCAATAAGAAACTGTTCAAATTTTTGTGTTTCTGGATCAAAGATATTTCTTATAAACAGCAAATGAAAGTTTAGTAAATTCTTAACTTAAGTCTGAGAATGCTTAGTGAACATGAGGCCAGGTATATTTATTTCTTTAATGCATGCTACCTATATTTACAAATAGTCCAGATAAATTTATTACTTTAACTTAGGCTACCTATATTGGGAAAACTCGTAACATCACGAATCCAAAAATAATCATACATTTTGTTGGTAATTTATAACTAAAATATTCTCAGGGTCGTGCCAATGATAAAATGTTTGCTGAAATATTATACATAATTTGTCAAACATGTACTGATTTTAGAGCATTAATGATGCATTATGGGAGATAAGATGAAGAGCTGGCAGTTCTCACTATAATAGTTAAAGACTAGATAATGTAAAGGGAATATGCTGAAAATTTCATCAAATTGATCCCCTCTGAACCAAGATATTAGCAATTGAATTTTAAGCCTAGCCTCGATCATCATTACTAAAGTCGATACAATAAAAAACGTAAGTCTCGATTATCCATTTTTGCATTTAATCATCATTGAGTGTTGAGCAGCAGATATCATTCAAATTCGTGTACCAATGGTAAAATGTTTATTTTGTCTTGAATATTGGATATCAGAAGCCCATCTTTTCCTTGTAAGATCACAAGACCAATGTTGATTTGAATTGACAAATAATTCGTGTTTTCAATGTCGAAGATTTTTGATGATATTGAGTTAGAGACTTAGCTACTTTAAGAATATCATCATTTGCTTGACAACCTTTTTTTTTGTTCAACACCAGTGATATTTAGTATCAAATTGTACTTACAACCCACACACCTGATTCTGTTCCCTACACACCTGATTCTGTTCCCTATCACCTGATTCTGTTCCCTATCACCTGATTCTGTTCCCTATCACCTGATTCTGTTCCCTTACAACCCACACACCTGATTCTGTTACCTACAACCCATACACCTGATTCTGTTCCCTATGACCTACCTGATTCTGTTCCCAATGACCCACACACCTGATTCTGTTCCCAACGACCCACACACCTGATTCTGTTCCCAACGATCCACACACCTGATTCTGTTCCCTATGAACCACACACCTGATTCTGTTTCTTATAACCCACTGATTCTGTCCATACAGCTGATTCTGTCCCCTACAAAGGGGGCTGGATGGCCAAATGGTTAGCATGTGCGTGCTGTATCAAAAGGTCTGTCATTGAGTCAACTGGTGTGCTTTCGATTCACTGGTTGTATGTGACAAGCAGTAGGGTCACATGTCAAACCTCGTGGGTTTTCTCTGGGTCCTCTGGTTTCCTCCCACTGCTAAAAACCCCTACGCGCAAGCTGGTTATTGAAATAAAATTGAACCATGTGTTAGTCCCGAAATGAATTAGTTTGTGTTGAGTGGACGTTAAACCCCATCTCTCTCTCTCCCCCCCCCCCACCACAAAGTCATAATAAAATCTATACTTACATCCAACATTGTCATATTAACTGTCGTCACATGACCTAAACTCAATGACTTATCACCTTTTAACCTACAAATAAAAATTGCTTTTACTGTTTCTAATTCGTTACATTTTAAGCTAAAATTAGCAATCATAATATTTTAACCTAAAATTAGCAATCGTCCCAATTTATTCTAAAACAAGCCAAGAGTGAGCCTGATTTCCATCGCCACAATCCCAAAATAAATAACGGGTCTCGGAACCGTGCCAGGCACGCCAAATGTGGAACTCTTCACAGAAACTTTAATTTCAGTCCCTATGCAAATTACCCGTATGAAAACAATTATTACGGTCGATTTAGTTTGAGCAGCCATTTAGATAGACCTGACAAAGTTTGCGCGACAAAAGGTCAAAGTTCCTTTGGCGCATGCGCAGTAATCCAGACCCAAACCGTGCTCAGACAGAATAGCTTTTACACTACGAAAATTTAACCGTGCCATGCCTGCCACCATGCCGAGACCACCTCACTTCAGTGGGTCAGATTGGCACAGTACTCAGTACGGCACGCTTATGTTTGACCCGTTTACACTACAAAAAAATTAACCATGCCATGCCATGTCAAGACATTCACCTAATGAACATCTACACCAAGTTTAAACATTCTACCACAATTAAAAGCAGAGTTTATTTGGTCCAAAGTCTTGACCAATCAAATTACGTATTGCTACTTAGTCTGAGGGGGTGCTGGATGGCCAAATGGTTAGTGGTGCGTGTTGTATGATAAGGTCGGTCATTGAGTCAACAGGCGTGGTTTCGATTCCCGGTTGTACTTGACAAGGAGTAAGGTCACCTGTCCAACCTCGTGGGGTGTTCTCCGGTTCCTCCCACTGCTAAAGACCCCTACGCGAATTATTGAAATAAAATAGAACCATATGTTAGTCTTAAAATGGTCTAGTTTGTTCCAGTGGCCATTAACCCCCCCCCCCCCCCCCCGGCCCTCTCTCTCTCTCTCTCCCCACCCCCCCTGCTCAGCTACATAAAATTTTTTGTAAAACAGTACTTTTTATGAGAAAAGTTTCTCGGCTGTGTGCTGTATCCTTTATCGTCAGATGTGGGACAGCATGGGCATTCAAAGCACGAGATAATGATATAGACATTATGTGATATCACAATTAATGCTTTGCATCCATGAAATTGAATGACAAAGTCATTGTATTAATTCATAATAAAAATTGACATCAAACGAGGTGTTGAATTTCTCTGTTTAGAAAGCTCAATGTGTATGTATATACGCCAAAATGACCATAGAGACCATGCGGGAGGAGGGGGGGGGGTGGAGATACATTGTCTCAGAAACCTGGCAAACCCCCTCCTGCAAAAATTCCTGGATCCGCCCCTGCTCTCTCTCTCTCCATAAAAATACATTGTCACTCTTTATATTTCAATTTTTTGATAAGGTCCAGACTACGGTATACGGTATTAATATTAATCCTGGTTTGATAATGATCCAGGCTACGGTATTAATATTAATCCTGGTTTGATAATGATCCAGGCTACGGTATTAATATTAATCCTGGTTTGATAATGATCCAGGCTACGGTATTAATATTAATCCTGGTTTGATAATGATCCAGGCTACGGTATTAATATTAATCCTGGTTTGATAATGATCCAGGCTACGGTATTAATATTAATCCTGGTTTGATAATGATCCAGGCTACGGTATTAATATTAATCCTGGTTTGATAATGATCCAGGCTACGGTATTAATATTTATCCTGGTTTACCTTTTCTCTTGTTGATCTCGAAAACTTAAAAAACTGTTGATAACCTTTTGCTGAAAAATAAAATATCTCTAGAATAACATCATCATATGCACAATGTATTTGATTTCATCAATATTAAAAAGGTCATTTGGACTAGATATCATTTTGATGATTTTTTTTAACATTAAACTACATTTACAGTGAGAGAGAGAGAAATGTACCAAGGAATGGTGGAAAATATGATGCTTCGCAAGGCATTCAGTGTGAATCAATGAAGCATTCGTGGCACCAATTACTTTCATTTTACAAGAGAAAAATAACAAATGTTTTAGTCAGTTTATTAAAGACACATTATGGAAAATAAGATAAAGAGCTGGAAGTTATCACTATAATAGTTAAAAACTAGATAATGTAAATGGAATATGCTGAACCAAACAGGAAATTGGAACCTAATCCAATAAACATCGCAGGCTAGCGATGCCATTGAGAGTTAATTATGGTCTGGATAAGTTAATCAATGTCTAATTAATAATTTAGATAACATTTCAAGTCTAAAAAAAACCCTGCAATAGGCAGATTTAGCTCTTGCATAATGTATGTTTAAGGTATGTAACCAATTGGCCATCTATTTGATAAACTTACTTACTATTTTCTGTGCTGCTGTATTTTCAATAAATTGAGAACCATGGCCAGGCTGTCCTTGACATTTAACTTGTACCCCTAAATATATAACATCACAGTTCCCTTATTTTTTTAAATTGAAAAAAAAGTGTATTAAGGTGTCCAAGTCTCTATTTTTTGAAACCTTGAAATAGACAACATGCGGTTGCGATGCAAGATACACCCACATTTTGCAAGAGATAGACAGAGAACGAGCTAAAAAAAATAATGTGATTTTTTGTACAATCAGGGGCCATAATCCAGGAAGATATGGTCCGATATGCGCAAATATCGAAAGGATCTGAGAGCTTTGGGTTATTCGAACTCAAGCGACATTACAGTGTAACAGTGATATATTCGAACAATTTTTCAAAATCAGATTATAATTGTGATCTCTAGAGGGACCAACCACTAGCTAAAAAGCGATCTTTCATACAATCAGGGGCCATAATTCAGAAAGTGATGATCTGATATGCGCAAATATTCAAAGGAACCAAGATCTTTGGGTTATAAACATACATATCAAGTTTCATCACAATCAGATGAACATTGTGACTGCAAGAGTGTTCACAAGCTAAAAACGTGATTTTTTCATACAATCAGGGGCCATAACCCATGAAGTTATGGTCCGATACATGCCAATATCGAAAGGAACCAAGATCTTTGGTGGGAGATAGACCTGTAGAGTGTCCACAAACAAATTGCGGGCGGACATTCAGACGGACAGGGGTGACGCCATAATATGTCCATATGAAAAAGTTGGCGCATAAAAAATACCAGGCTTCATGATCTAGACAGATTAGTCAGACTGGATAAACAAGACGGATAAATCAGACTAGATGATCTAGACATATGAATCGGACTGGATGAACAAGACAAATAATGTAGACTTGATGAACAAGACAGATAAATTATATAATATAGTAACTTACACCATATAGATCTTTCTCCATAGAAAACACGAAACTCTTCACCAGGATTAGCAATACCTGTTGATGAAATATTTATATAATCATTTCTCATGGCTTGGGTAGAAATAATCTAAATGTTTAGACCACCATTCTCACACTTATGTTAAAGATACATTATGGGAGATTCGGTACCGAGTTGGCAGTTCTCACTATAATAGTTAAAAACTAGATAATGTAAAGGCAATTTGGTGAAAATTTCATTCAATTTGATCCACTATGAACCGAGAACTAAGAGACTGAAATTCCCATAAGCCTCGGTCATCATTACTAAAGTCAGTACGATAAACAGCATGGTCTCGATTTTCCATTTAATCGTTTAATCGAGAAGGAAAGTTATGCAGTAAATCGGCTTACAATCCACTAAAGACCGCAGGCTAGCGCTGCCATCTAGAGATGATTATGGTCTGGATAAGTTAATTAATGTCTAATTAATAATTTAGATAAGATTTCAGGCCTAAAGAAAGATCTGCAATAGACAGATTTAGCTCTTGCATAATGTATGTTTAAGAAGTTACTCAAAATTGTTCACCTTATTTCAAACATACATTATGCAAGAGCTAAATCTGTCTAGTGCAGGTGTTTCTTTAGGCCTGAAATGTTATCGAAATTATTAATTAGACATTAATTAACTTATCCAAACCACAATCAACTCTTGATGGCATCGCTAGCCTGCAATTTTTAGTGGATTATGAGCCGATTTACTGCATAACTTTCCTTCACAATTTAACAATTAAATGGATAATCGAGAATGTGCTGTTAATCATACTGACTTTAGTAATGATGATCGAGGCTAGGCGGAAATTTCATTCGCTTAAATTCTCGGTTGACAGTGGATCAATTTGATTGAAATTTTCAGCAAATTGCCTTTACATTATCTAGTTTTTAACTATTATAGTGAGAACTGCCAACTCGTTATCGAATTTCCCACAATGTATCTTTAACTAAAATATAGCCCTTTATAAAACCTTTGTTGTTTTAATGTATCAAATACATCAATAAGAAACTATGTGCAGAGTATTGTGTTTCTGAATCAAAAGTTAGCACGTGCGCACTGTATCACAAGTTCTGTCATTGAGTCAACTGGCATATTTTCGAATCCCCGGTTGTACATAACAAGGAGTAGGGTCGCCTGTCCAACCTCGTGGGTTTTCTCTGGGTCCTCTGGTTTCCACCCACTGCTAAAAAACCCTACGCCCAAGTGGATTATTGAAATAAAAATTAAACCATATGTTAGTCCCGAAATGACCTAGTTTGCGTCGAGTGGATGTTAAAAACCCTATTTCTCTCTCTCCAGCTAATCTGGATGTCTCGTGTTTAATCCCTGTGAAGAACGAGAGAGAGAGAAATGGGGTTTAACGTCCACTCGACACAAACTAGGTCATTTCGGGACTAACATATGGTTTAATTTTTATTTCAATAATTCGCTTGCGCGTATGGGTCTTTAGCAGTGGGAGGAAACCTTAGGACCATGAGAAAACCCACGAGGTTGGACAGGCGACCCTCATCCTTGTCACGTACAACCGGGGATTCGAAACCACGCCAGTTGACTCAATGACAGGCCTTATGATACAGCACGCACGTGCTAACCATTCGGCCATCCAACCCCCCCTGTGACGAACGAGAAACTTCATCTGGATTTTTCAGAGTGGTTTCGCCTTGTCAGTCATGCAGGATAGAAGGCCTGGCAAGGGAAACTTAATAGTTGTTGGAATGGGATGAAAAACCGAAGTCCCGTGTATTCAGTGGCGGCGCCAGCCGTCGGTGGTTGGAGGGGTAAAGCTGGGGCAAACTCCAAGGTTAAGGGGGTAAAGGGACGAGCTTCAACTAGGGGAAGGTGCCGGGCTCCCCCCAGAAAATTTTGAAAAACAAGTTGCCGGAAATGCAGTCTGACAGTATTTCAGGCACTGATTGTTGAGGTAAAGTGTCAAACAAACGGAGACTTGCGAACCTAGACGAAGGCCACTCAGGAGCCTCAAAGTAGGGAGTCTTTACAGAGGGTATGGGGGGACCTCGCCAAGAAAATTTTAAAAAATAGACTGCCGGAAATCTGACCAGATACCGTCTGTCGCCTGATCACTAGTTTATCCGACCAGAGAACAAAATGGGGATGTGGGATTTATTCACAGTAGAAGGAATTGATTACCGAAACATATCACAAACACTTTTTTTATTTTCTAAAATTATTGAGGGGGCAGACAGAGGTCAGACCAGATTTATGGGGGGGGTAATGCCCCCCCCCCCTTGGCGCCGCCACTGCGTGTATTCATTAGCATGCAAGTAAAAGAACCCTTGACAGTTGGGACTCGATATAAGAGTAGGCCATAGTGCCACTGTCCAGACCAAATTTCCCTCATAGCACACTTTATGGTGTATGCCCATCTTCATTAGCCCAGTCGGCGCAGAACAGTAGGATGTTAAACTCCATTTTATTTTACTTACCTTCGTCTAAAGCAAATCCAACATTTAATTTTTTGAATTCATCATGATGTACAAACAAACTTTGGGGTGTACTTCCGATTTCCTCATCTAAGAAAAAAAGTTATGCAATAAATTTATCTACAAGGCCAAGCATCTACTTGTTGGGTTCTACGAAATATCAGAGAGAGTGAGAGAGAGAAATGGGGTTTAACGTCCACTCGACACAAACCAGGTCATTTCGGGACTAACATATGGTTTAATTTTATTTCAATAATTCGCTTGCGCATAAGGGTCTTTAGCAGTGGGAGGAAACCGGAGGACCCGGAGAAAACCCACGAGGTTGGACAGGCACGAAATATCAAGGTCTTGGGTAAACTACTGACAGAAGGAAATCATAACAAAAGTAGATTGTAAAACCACTGTAAGGGCAAAATGTTCCTCATGGCACACTGAATGGCATATGCCCATCTTGATCACTGGTGTTGGTGCAGTAGACATTAAACCACATTTCATTTTCTTGACATAAAGGGCTATGCAATAACTACTTTCCCTATGAACAATACCTTTATACCAATTTCATTCTGTATTGTATTTTTAGAAAGATTTGTGATATTTTAAGAATAGTTTTACCTGATGTGAAGACCAGATGTAAAGTTCTAAGTAATCTTTTCCCACTTGATTTTATTCTTCTTATTGCTTCTATATACCTTATGAATTAATTAAAGGTTATATTTTGTTGAGGTCTTGATAAATCAGTCATTGAGTCAAATGGCGTGGTTTCGATTCCCTGGTTGAACTTGACTACTGATGTGAACACCTAGATATACCTAGGTGATCTAGGTTACTCATTTGAAAATCTAAACATACCTAATTAAAGTTATACTGATACAATGTATTATATATACTTAGTATATAGATACACACTCCGCAAACCTCAGACCAGTACCCTATATCTAGCCTCGGCGGTATGACAAAGTCAGCCATTGGAACTATTTTCAAGTTCCCGGATTACCAACGGCGTTGCCCATGACGACGCCTTTGAAGAATGTTTTATCATACAAATATTTCAAAGCCTAAAGCTGTTTTTCTTTCAAGTTTATCCGACTTTCTTTAGACAATGACAAGTTTGCACTGAAAATTCTACACACTCTTCGAACGATGCTATTGTGAGAACTTCTTTCTAAAAGCGGCAAGTTTTCCTAATAAGTAAACCGGTGCCGGTGATAGGTACATATCACTTACCGTCATCGTCATACAGCTGAAGCTTGATGTAGGGTACCGGAATCTGCCGAGGTTTGCCGAGTGTATAGATACAATGTATTATATATACCTACTATATAGATACAATGTATTATATATACCTACTATATTCATACAATGTATACTTACTGTATAGATACACACTTCATATCCTATAAAAAAATATAATTAATCATTAAATTACAGAGACAAAATATCTTAAAGGTTTCTAACTTTTTTAAAATTAAAAAGAAAAAAAGAACCTTGTCATTATTATAAAACCTTAATCATTGTAACCACTAACAAATCATTGTAGTCACTGACAAATCATTGTAATCACTGGCAAATCATTGTAATCACTGACAAATCATTGTAATCACTCAAAAATCATTGCAATCTCTGATAAATCATTGTAATCACTGATAAATCATTGTAATCACTGAAACAATCATTGTAATCACCCAAAAAGCATTGCAATATCCGATAAATCATTGTAATCACTGATAAAACATTGTAATCACCGATGACATATAATAGCCAATAAAAAATTATAAATATTATGATCACCAATGAATCATTATAACAGATAAAACAGTGTAATCACCAATGATTCATTGTTATCACCAATAAAACATTGTAATCACTAATGAATCATTGTAATCACCGATGAAACGTTGTCATCACCAATGAAACGTTGTCATTACCAATGAAACATTCTCATCATCAATGAATCATGGTAATCACCGGTGAAACGTTGTAATCACCATTGAAACATTGTCATCATCAATGAATCATTGTAATCACCGGTGAAACGTTGTAATCACCAATGAAACATTGTAATCACTAATGAATCATTGTAATCACCAATGAAACGATTGTAATCACCGGTGAAACGTTGTAATCACTAATGAAACATTGTAAAAACCAATTAATCATTGTAATCAACTCAGTGTTGAAAACATACAGTTGTCAGGTATTGTCATGGCTTGTGGTCGTGGTTTCGACCCCTGGTGTGAGCGTATGTGGCTTGGAGATAGGGGCGCCTTCTCAATCTTGTAGGTTCACTCAGGGTACTCTGGTTTCCTCTCACAGGAAAGATCCTGTGCATGCACAAAGTATAACAAAAACATAAGAGTTTAACATCCACTCGACACAAACTAAGTCATTTCGGGACTAACACGTGGTTCAACTTTATTTCAATAATTCGTTTGCGCATAGGGGTCTTTAGCAGTGGGAGGAAACCTGAGTACCCGGAGAAAACCCACAAGGCTGGACAGGCGATTCTACTCCTTGTCACATACAAGGTTGACTAACAGCTATCCCAGACTTCACATGCATACTCGAGAAGAGAACGTATATTATAGATATGATCAAGCGAGCTCCTAGTTGTAGTATGTTTTAGCTTTCTTAATATAATAAGTCGTTTAGAGGTTGATCCATTTGCAATCATTTGGTAAGTGTATGCTTGTCGGAATTAACAATATCGGGTTGGTTATTGCCGAGATCTGAGTTTGTTTGTTAAACAAATTGCGGCCTTAGTTTTATTGGGGTTGAATTTAATTGATCAATCTTTTAATCAATTACAGAGTCCAAATTTAAGTCTAAATTAAATGAGCTATCGAGGTAGTCGAAAGTATCGTTATTTAAAGATTTAGATGGAAGACAAACCTGCGATCCTCTAGCATAAATATTACCATCTATCTTCTCCGCACTGAATGGATCAACTCTCCAATGTTCCTACAATATATACAAAAACATGACATACATGACATATGTGACATACAAAACATACATGGCATATGTTATATACATGACATAGATGACATATGTGACATACATGACATATGTGACATACCAAGCATACATGACATATGTCACATGCATGACATATGTGGCATACCAAACATGGCATATGTGACATGCATGACATATGTGACATACCACATTACATATGTGACATACCAAATATACATGACGTGCATGACATATGTGACATGTATGGCATATGTGACATATGTGACATACAATACACCAGTGATAACATCGAGAGTTGATTATGGTCTAATTAATAATTTAGACAACATATCAGGCCTAAAGAAAGACCTGCCCTAGGTAGATTTAAATAAGAAAATACTACTTACCGAAAAAACTGGTACAACATCAATATGTGAACTAAGTAGAATGGAGGGTAGAGAAGGTTCCAGTCCCTCCCAAGTCATAATACATATTGGCTTTTTAGGGGCTACCTACAAAAACAAGTAAATGTGTCATTTGTGTTGTATTATAGGGCCTATATAGTCCGCATTCAAATATTACAATAAAAGCAAAACCAAATGAAAAGGGGTTTAACGTCCTACTGTTCTGCTCCGAACTGGGCAAATGAAGATGGGTATACGCCATACAGTGTGCTATGCGGGAAATTTTGCCCAAACAGAGGCACTACAGTCTACTCTTTATATTGAATTCCCACTGCAAAGGGTTCTTTTACGCATACGCCAACTTGTACACAGGACCGAACACGGGTCATCCAGGTCCGCAAGGCAATGCCTTACTCGCTGAGCCAACGTGGGCACCCTTTTGCCTGGTCAGCGGCACTACAGTCTATTCGTTATATTGAATTACAACTGCAAGGGGTTCTTTTACGCGTATGCTAACTTGCGCCTTACTCACTGGACCAATGTGGCCACCTTACCTCAAATGATTTAAGCGTGGCCATCTTACCTCAAATGATTTAAGCGTGGCCATCTTACCTCAAATGATTAAAACGTGGCCACCTTACCTCAAATGATTAAAACATGGCCACCTTACCTCAAATGATTAAAACGTGGCCACCTTACCTCAAATGATTTAAACGTGGCCATCTTACCCCAAATGATTTAACCGTGGCCACCTTACCTCAAATGATGTAAGCGTGGCCATCTTACCTCAAATGATTTAAGTGTGGCCATCTTACCTCAAATGATTAAACCGTGGCCACCTTACCTCAAATGATTAAACCGTGGCCACCGTACCTCAAATGATTAAACCGTGGCCACCTTACCCCAAATGATTTAAGTGTGGCCATCTTACCTCAAATAATTTAAGCGTGGCCACCTTACCTCAAATGATTTAACCGTGGCCACTTTACCTCAAATGATTAAAACGTGGCCACCTTACCTCAAATAATTTAAACGTGGCCATCTTACCCCAAATGATTTAACCGTGGCCACCTTACCTCAAATGAGGTAAGCGTGGCCATCTTACCTCAAATGATTTAAGTGTGGCCATCTTACCTCAAATAATTTAAGCGTGGCCACCTTACCTCAAATGATTTAACCGTGGCCACCTTACCTCAAATGATTAAAACGTGGCCACCTTACCTCAAATAATTTAAGCGTGGCCATCTTACCTCAAATGATTTAAGCGTGGCCATCTTACCTCAAATGATTTAACCATGGCCACCTTACCTCAAATGATTAAAACGTGGCCAAAATACCTCAAATGATTTAAACTGTAATCCTACATCTTCTGCCACTCTCTGTAAAAACTCAACTGATTTACCTTCAAAATAACAAAACAATTATTCTCTTCAGGCCAAATTAAAGTAATTTGGGGAGAATCATAAGGCCTGTCATTGAGTCAACGGGCGTAGTTTCCATTCCCCGGTTGTAAGTGACCAGGAGTAGGGTCGCCTGCCCATCTGTGTGGGGTTTTGCCAGGTCCTCAGGTTTCCTCCCACTGCTAAAGTAATTTGCGGGGTTGGATAGCCGAATGGTTAGCGTGTGCACGTTGTCAATGAAACAAATAGCGTGGCTTTGATTAACCGGTTGTTTGTGATTAGGAGTAGGGTCACTTGTCCAACTTCGTATGTTTTTTCCAGGTCCTCCGGTTTCCTCCCACTGCTAACCAGGTCATTTTGGTACTAACATATGGTTCAATTTTATTTCAATAGCAGTGGGAGAAAACCCACCTCGAGGTTGGACAGGCCACCCTACACCTTGTCACGTACAAATGGGGAATCGAAACCCCACTACTTGACACAATGACAAAGGGGAGAGACGTAGGTTTCTACCTCCATCCTTAATTAGCTCATGACAAGAGGATCGAAGGCTTAGAAAAACCTTAGGATCAGCCACATTAATATAATACATCAGTCATTACAGTTTTCCGGTGTGCTTTCCCCTTGTCAGTGATGCAGAACGGAGGGCCTGACAAGGGCAGCTGTCTAGGATGAAAAACAAATTGGATTGAACGTAAAAGATCCCTTGGCAGTTGGAATTCGATATAAGAGTAGGCCGTAGCGCCGCTGCCTGGGCAAAATTTCCTTCATAGCACACTGTATGGCGTATGCCCGTCTTCATTAGCCCAGTTTAGGAGCAAAACAGTAGGACGTTAAACCCCATTTCATTTCATTTCAGTCATTACAGATCACCGGTACTTTAAAATCTCCCTTGCAAAAGTGAGTGGCTGGGTGGTGGCATGAAATTAACTTGGTTTCGATTCCCTGCTTGTCCACAGTAAAATAAAATTTACCTCTCTCTGCTACAACCTTCAAGTTTATGTCTACTGTCACTGATCACTAGCCCAAGTCACTAGGGGGGGTGGATGGAAATGAAATGAAATGAAATGGAGTTAAACGTCCTACTCCTAACCTGGGCTAATGAAGACGGGCATACGCCATACGCAGTGTGCTATGAGGGAAATTTTACCTGCACAGCGGCACTACGGCCTACTCTTATATCGAATTCCAACTGCCAATGGATCTTTTACGTGCACGCCAATGTGTACACGGGACCTCGGTTTTTCGTCCCACCCCCCGAATGGTAATTAGCAAGTGAATGGTTATAGCAAGTGCACCTGTATGGATCGAGTAGGGTCGGGTGCCTGTCCAACCTCGTGGGTTTTCCCATAGGGTCCTCCGATTTCCTCCCACTGCTAAATCTACGCACAAGGCAAGAGAATTATTGAAATAAAATTGAACCATGTGTTAGTCCCGATATGACCTAGTTTGTGTGTCGAGTGGACCTTAAATCCCATCTCTCTCTCTCTCTCTCTCTCTCTCTCTCTCTCTCTAGACTCTAATACTACTAGATGATTTGAGAATTAAAGAAAGTCTATCAAGTCTTTACTTACTATAATCTACGTCCGGTTGAACCGTCTTAATCTTCAAATATTCTCGAAATAAACTGACAGCCGAATCTTCACCCATATTTCTTCTATTTTATACTTTTTAAATTGTTAAAATAAAATCTTCTGTCTGCTATGCTATGATCAGCTGGGTCAAAAGGGGAAATAACTGTAACAACAATGAAAGAACAGTCCTCAGTATCCAGTATGATAACTCATCTAGTTCTAGCATGGATCCACACTGATCCGCAGTGAATATTTGCTTGGCCGCGACAATCACTGATAAGGATGACATTGATGCGGCCTAATGAGCTAGAAATATTAACTTTTTTCCTGCGACAAATTAAATTCTAAAACATTTTTTGTATATATTGGAAAAATAAATAAAGCCGTTTGACGTATTTGTAGGTAAAAATTATTTCCGATTTAGTGTAAATGGGTATTAAATTGACTAAAATGCAGCATTCTCTCCGAAGCAGTTATGTCTTATGTAAACAATGCACGCGCCATTCAGCCAATGATTCACACCGCGTGCTGTGACAGCACGTGTTAAGGCAGTCATCTATGACAGAGATATTATACGAGACTCGTAATTCTCTGTGAAACAGATTGGCATGGATCGTGTACAGTTCTATGGTTCTAGTAATTATAATGAAATGAAATGGGATTTAACGTCCTAGCACCTATACTGTTCTGCTCCGAACTGGGCTAATGAAAATGGGCATACGCCACGCCATAAGTGTGTCATGAGGGCATGCCACGAGGGAAATTTTTGCCCGAACAGCGTGTGCGGCACTATACCCCTTATGAAAAAGTCCTATAGAAAAAGTACACGTTTCTATAGAAGTTTGTGGGATTCTATAGAATGCTATAGAATGCAGCAGGAAAACGAAATCATTCTGTATTTCAAAAACATGTACTATAGTTTTGTGTAGGATTGGTAGATGAATATTTTCCAAGTGTAATTTCCTATAGAATTCTATAGAATACTGTAAGAAACTATTGGAAAAAAAATAAACCTACAGATTCATTGGTGCTGCAATAATTTTCTGTAGAACTAACTTGTATCCTCGAGTCAGTTGAGTAATCCTTCAGTTTTCTATAGCCTTTGTGCTAAAAACTATAGTTTGCTATAGAACTAACTTGTATTCTCATGTCAGCTGTGATTCCTATAGATTTGGTGGTAAAAACTATAGTTTTGTATAGAACTAACTTATTGTCTCAAGTCAGTAGTATATTCCTATAGTTGTCTATGACATTCCGTTGAAAACTAAGAATTTATATGTATACTGTACTTAAACCATTTTAACAAATAGCCGACTATAGTTTCCTACATAATATTGTAGAAACAATGTTCTATACTACAGATTTCATAAATTGGCGATGTATTTTATTCATACTATAGTTTACAATAGAATTTACTGATTCACTTGTGTGAATAATGTAAACTTTTCCAACATAATTTTCCTGGATGCAGTTTTCCTTAATTTTTTATGATACCAAATGACAAACTAAAATATAAAGTATAAAATAGTGTATATAATATGAATGAAATAGTGATACATGTTGACACTCAAAGGAATTCCCCACCCCACCCTCCAAAAAATGCCAGTAAATGTAGATGTTCACAACAAAAATATCAGATAATAAATTATTCTTCAGAAGTCAATGAAATGAAGACACAGTTTATTTAGATTTTAATGACTATAGCAGATTCTGTACTCAGATTCTGTCAACCGTGAATACCTGTCGACAAATTATAATTAACAGCCAATGTACTCTCTTGAAATCTGTTTGGCCATTGGCTGAATTTAAAATTCAAAAATTCAGTGTATAACAACTTTAGTATTAACAAGAAACTGAAGAGAATGGTGGTGTTTTTTCACAGAGTCGATTAAAGATAGAAAGATAAGTATACTTTATTACTTTCTTAACAATAATATTAAATTACTTTAATTAGATAAGATTTATGTGATTTTGTTATCTATTTAACTTTATAACCTATTCTTTTCCCTATATTTCAGTTTTACCAAGAAAAGGACTTTTCATGGTTCGGGCTGGTGAATCATCAACAGAATTCAGATTAATCCATGAGAGAAAAAATGAGCTTATCAATTTAGAAGAAATCATGGGCCAACTATATTTATTCCCAAAATAAGATTTAATAAAAAAAAGTCTATAGAATTCTATAGTACCCATTCCTACAGAAAACTATAGTGGCCCAATTTCCAAACTGCAGAATACTACAGTATTCAATCCTATACATAACTGTAGAATTTCCTACAGAAAGTGCAATAAAAAAACCTATAGAATACTATATATTATTTTCCTATAGAAATTTTGCCATAAATCTGTAGGAAAAACTATAGGATGTGCGCTACAGAATCTGTAGAATATTTGGGGCCGTTATTTCCTACAGGCCCCCAAAATTCTGTAGAATACTATAGAATTTTATCCTATAGAACACGGGACACGCCCCCCAAAAAACTCTATAGATTTTCTATAGAATTCTACACTGCTATTCTGTAGGACTTTTTGCTAAGGGACGGCCTACTCATATCGAATTCCCAACTGTCAAGTGATCTTTTACGTGCACGCCAATGTGTACACGGGGCCCCCTGCAGCTCTGACAAGGGGGAACCACGCCGGAAAATCTAGACGAACTTTCTCGGCCAATGCAGGGATCGAACACCCGACCTCCATGCTATAAAGCGAGCCAACGTCTTACCCACTTAGTCACCGTGGCCCCAAACTCATCTAGTGGCCTATTAAGTATTCTGGCAGCTAGGCCTATATTTTGTATTGATAATCTTTACAGTTTACACTCTTTGTAAATTTTCATGGGTTAATACGGTGAAATTTAATAGATAAGATTGAGCCGACGGCGCCGTTCACAAGCCTTCTTAAAGAAAACACTTAAAAATTATTTATGTAAGATTGAGATAAAGAGCTAACCATTCTTGCTATAATAGTTCGAAAATAGATACTGAAAAATGATTGAAAATTTCTTTCAAATTATATTAGCCTTTGAAGGGTATAGCGACTTGCCTCCTTAAAATTAACTAAAGCAAATTTATTAGCTCAGATATAGATGAAGTTATAAATACAAGAACTCAACTGACTTGATCTGTATCATAATAGCCTATTATTACAGTTATAGTCGCTTATCAAAATGCATGGTCATTTGTAGACAGCTCAAACAATATGATAGGCCCTATGTTTATTTGTAAAATGTAGGACTACAATTCTTTTAAGTTATGATAAGTTATAAGTTGGTTAATTTAGTTACGGATATCATATCACATGGGCACTTGAAGAGATTTAAATAAATCTTCTAACTTTATCTCGAATAGTAAGCTACAATAGGGACAAGGTATATCACGCGCCATATTGTTTTTGACTTGATATAGCCTGGTTTCCACTTACAAGTGGTGCGTGACGTAGGCCTATACATAGGCGTTCGAGTCCGATCAGTTTGTGTGTGGGGGTGGGGTGGAATGGGGCAGAAATTGAATTGCCCCAATCTGATTAAAACACAGATCCTATTTCGTTTTGTTTCTTATAGTTCAAAATTTCATTTTACTTGACTTTACCACACTAGGATCTGGAAGAGTTGTTAAAGTACCGGCGTTTTGGTTGAAGTGAGGGATTAGCCAATGAAACAGTCTGATGCAGTCACTGATCTATATAGGCCTATAATATTATAAAGATCAGCGGTTGCATCGAGTTTTTGCGTGTGATGCACGTAACTGTGGGTATCCCACTAGAAACATCAATGCTGATTGGTTAATCAAATGTCTGACATCATAGGTCAAAAGCCACTCGTACGACCCCTGACACGACCCCCCAATACAACTTGTCAGCTCTTTATGTAGTAGAGGCCATCGGAAATATAAAAAAAACGAAAGGAAAATGTGTACACGGGACCTCGGTTTTTCGTCTCATCCGAATGACTAGACAGCTAGTCCGAGAAAGTTCATCCAGATTTTCCGGCGTGGTTTCCCCTTGTCAGTGATGCAGGACGGAGGGCCTGACAAGGACAGCTGTCTAGTCATTCGGATGAGACGAAAAACCGAGGTCCCGTGTACACATTGGCGTGCACGTAAAAGATCCCTTGGCAGTTGGAATTCGATATAAGAGTAGGCCATAGCGCCGCTGCCCGGGCAAAATTTCCCTCATAGCACACTGTATGGCGTATGCCCGTCTTCATTACCCCAGTTTAGGAGCAGAACAGTCGGACGTTAAACCCCATTTCATTTCATTTTATTTTATTACCCGTCTGCCCGACAAATCTGATCGCCGAGAATTTGGGGTTGCAGCTGCATCCGCCCCGCCCCCACTCCCGCTCCCGTCCCGCTTATGATGACGTAGGATATGAAACAGTGTCTCGGTTTTGATATGTGGGAGTAAATATTGTTTTGGTTTTGTAGACTTGTACTTATTCAAAACCATAGGCAACAAATTTGATTTGGATGGCTGAATAGTTAGCGTGTGCGCGCTGCATCATAAAGTCTGTCATTGTGTCAACTGGCGTGGTTTCGATTCCCAGGTTGTACGTGACAAGGAGGTAGGGTTGCCTGTACAACCTCGTGGGTTTTCTCCGGGTCCTCCGGTTTCCCCCCCACTGCTAAAGACCCCTACTTACAAGCGAATTATTGAAATAAAATTAAACCATATGTTAGTCCCGAAATGACCTAGTTTGTGTCTCTCTGTTTCTCCTACTGAAAAAGGAACTCCTCTACATCTTACGTTGGCAGCTAATAGATTTTCTTTGCTGCGAAATAACATATTTTATCTTATCTGACTAGACCATGCTGGAAACAAATAGGCTGGCTGATTCAATTCAGTAAGGCATTTTCGAAAAAAAACAATCAGGACTTGATAAAAACTTATGACATGATTTTGCGATAGTTTATCAGTATGTGTCATAACGTAATCATTAATGCTCAGAAAAACAAGCGGGGAAAATGTTCTTCAGTGGTTTTGATGTTGCGATGCTTGAAAACTTGAATGCGATTGAGTGTCCTGCTTTTCTGCATAAACTATGCTCGTGGGTATATTGGGGGTAATTTTACCCGGAAAGCGCAGTTTCATATGACAATTCATCGAATTCCAACTGTTAAGGATTCCCTTAGTGCACGCCATCACTGTTCCATGTCAGTCATGTGACAAAGGGATACAAAATCCTTAGATACTTTCTCGG